GTCGGGCCCAGTTATTGGCTTCGCAGATTTGCGCTAATGTGTCTTCCGATAGTTCATAACGCTCGGTGCTTGGGAATCTGGGGAGATGATTCGACCCTTCTGTCTCTTTCGCTCTCCTATCGCGAGTTCGTGGTTCACGGGACCGTGAACTCGTAAACCGGTGCTCCTCTGAGTGGAAAACGCACAGGAAACGCATAGAAGGGTGGGCGGGCAAGGGAGGTTGAAGAAGTTCCGAGGAAGAAGGTTAGTTACTCGGTTGTTCGTTGAAAGTTTTCGGATCATGAGTAATTCTCGCGATGGAGATTTTTTTTTTTTTTTTTTTTCAAGAGAGGAACAGCGAGGTTGGAGTGAATTTGTTGAGTTCCAGTTTCAAAGTTTCGCTCGGGATTAATTCCTGCTTATTCTTTTTGTTGCAGCAACGGCGACACGATCCGACGCTGTCGGCGAAAGGCATCCGCCAGCGGAGCTGTACGTAACGTTTTATTTTTGGCTTTATACGGTGTCTCGCGGCGTCTTGTGCCTTTGCCATCTTCTGTAGAACGTTAGGAGAATTGCTGATGGGCGATCGATCTTCTTCGCGCCTCTCGCTTCGCGAATTTCCACCAGAACAATGCGTACATGTTCCTCGGAGACTGTGTTAACTGTCGCGATTCCATAACAAGAAATTGCAGAAACAGCACGTGAATATAAAGATACCAAAGGAGAGAGATTAAAAAGATTAGTCGATCTAAGTCTACGTTTCGGTTCTTCGCGGTCGACGAGAAGATAAAAATCGTGAGTCGCGCTCTCCTGCCGAAAATACGCCGGAGCGTCGTGAAACTTTAACGCGACGCAGAGATACGATTTCGCTAAAATTATATGAAAAACGCGATAAGAAGAAAAAAGAAAAATAGGAGGAACTCGCTGGCAACCCGATCCATAATCCCGACGGAAGCCACGAGCGAAGGTGAGGAGTGTGGAGGCCAAGGAAAAAGCAAGGGAGGCTAAAGGGTAAGCAAGCGAGCCAATGTTTAATGGAGGCTTCCCGTCGGCCCCTTGCCGCTTCTTCTTCTTTGGCCGCGTCTTCGCGGCGATGTCGGTGGCAGTCGAGGTTGCCGGTGGAGGCGGTGGACACGTCATTTATCTTTCACCCTTCCTCCTGCTGGAGCACGTTCTCCACCTCTCACCTCCTACCTCCGTCCACTGCTACTCTTGGTGGCGCCATCTTGGCAACTCCCACTCTCCTTTTCTCCTCTGCTGCTCTCTCTGCCCTTCTCGGTTCTCCGCTGTTCGGCCTCGTACGCTCTCCTGCTTCTCCGTGTCCCCATTTGCCTCCTTGTCTCGCCTCCAACTCCCTAACGTGGAACAACGTCTGACTTTCTCGCTCGTTCCTTCGTTCCTCCTCGGCCTTCTCTTTGTTTCTCTCATTTTCCGCCTCCATTCTCTCCGTCTCGTCCCCTCGGACCGCCTCACGGCCCCCGTCGCTCCTCCAGCCACGGCCAAGAACCGTTTTCCCCTGCGTCTTAAGCTGCGTGCCTGGAATAGTTGGCAATTATTCGGCACAGCCCGCGATCCCCTTTTCTCCGTTCTTGCTCGCGTCTCTCCGTCTTTGTTTCCGCCTTTTCTACGTAGCTCCTTTCCAGCGTCGACATCAACGTCCGAAAGATAGATGGAGCAGGATCGTAGAGGTGGTAGCGCGCGATGAATATTTATCGATAGTTGCCGCGTTTCCATCCGCGTTTCCAGCCCCGTCGATCGTCGATGATATCGAGCCGCGATAAACACACCCAAAGACAAAACAGTTTTCATGGTCGGTGACGGATCGGGAAAATAACTGTAACGTGCCTCGACCATGCCGAGAGCTCGACGAAATTTTTATAATCCTATTCAATCAGTCCGTGTACGAAACGTTTCGAAATTTCATTGATGATCTTTGAGTAGGCATAGTCGAGACACTGGAACGTTCTTCAAGAACGCGTCTCTAGTCTGAAACTCGCAGCACAAAATTCTCCGCGAAGATTCTCTTCGGACAGAATTAACTGTCAGAGACACGACGAAGTGAATCTCGAGAGATTCAAAATTCTCCAACTATATATCTCCTGTGGAAATCTTTCGCGCGGCTTTTCATTCGCTATCTTCCTCTTAATAGACTCTCGACCATCTAATTCGGGTGCAACTAAAATCGCCTAAATTGCCACGCGAAACCCATCGAATCGGTTGAGCCAGTACGCCACTCGAAAAAATGGTCCTTTGGGTCGCGGAATTTCCAAAGCGATAACGAACCTTTGGCACACGGTATCGAAACCCGGAGTTCGTTAAAATCCCCGGAGGTAGGCGGTGACGAGCGGCTCGGGGAGTGCAATTACACGACGTC